ATAGTAGGTACTCTGATGTCTGGATTCTTTTGGTCACTGTACAGTTTTTGATATTCTTCCACATTGTATATATCACTCATTTGTTTCTTTTTATTACTGAGTAGTATTAATACTTTATCCATTCATCTATAGGTGTATATTGGGTCATTTCCAGTGTTTGGCTCTTAAAGCACTATGGGAATTTTCATGCAATATAGTTTTGTGAAATATGTTCTTCATTTTGAGGAAATACATAGGAGTGGAATTGCTAGGTGCTGTTGTAAGTATATTTTTAAACTTAAACTGCCAAACTATTTTCTAAAGTAGTTGTAGATTTTCCACTCTAACCAGCTGGGTAGTAATGAGAGTTCCATTTGCTCCACATTCTTGCCAATATTTGATATTGTCTGTCTTTTAAAGTTTAGCCCTTCTACTGGGTATGTGGTGATAGTTTATTGTGGTCTTTATTTGAATTTCCTGTTGACTAAGCATCTTATCGTGTACTTATTAGTCATTTGTATATCTTTTGTGAAGTGTCTGTTCAAATCCTTTGCCCATTATTTTAAATTGGTTTGTTTGCCTTATTAATTCATGAGAGTTCATATATCTTATAGGAAAATTGTTAGACGTATGGTGAATATTTTGTCCCAATTTGTGGCTTATCTTTTCATTTTCTAAATGGTACCTTTTAAAGAAGATTTTATAAACTTTGGTATAGTTTAATATATCAGTTTCTTTATGGTTGTGAATTTCTTTTATGGTTCCTTTTCTGTCTAAGAATTTTAATGTAAGAATTTTCTGCTTACCCCAGGGTCATAAGATTTTCTGCTATGTTTTCTTCTAGAAGTGTTACAGTTTTTATATCTAGATCTTTGGTTCATTTTAAATCAAACATTTTGTTTATGGTATGAAGGGAAGACAAGTTTCTTTCTTTTTTTTCCCCTGTGAGTGGCCAGATGTTTTAGTACCAGTTGTCGAAAAGATATTCTTTCTTCATTTAACAACCCAAACTCTTCTCATTTTCAAATTTTATAACATTATTCAAACAATTAAATTCTGCAATTTTCTTTTTCTTATATGAAACTGTTTTGTCATTGTTTTGTTATATACATATATATATATGCTTGAGAATGTTTTTTATATATGCTTGAGAATCAGCTTGTCAATATCCATAAGAAAGGCTGCTAATTTTTTATTTTTACTTTTTATTTATTTATTTTTTAAGTAGGCTCCACCCGTGGAGCCCAACACAGGGCTTGAGCTCACAACCCTGAGATCAAGACCTGAGCTGAGATCAAAGTCAGATGCTTAACTGAGCCATGCAGGCACCCCAAGGCTGCTAACTGTTTAATTAAGATTGTGTTGAATCTATAAAATCAATTTGAAGAGAGTAGGTATTTTGATGATACAGAGTTTTAAAATCTATAAACATTGTCCTTCCTCCACTTACTTAGTTTTCTTTAATTTCTGTTAGCAGTGTTTTATAAAAGTTTCATTGTATTGCTTTGTATATTCTTTAATTTATTTTATATTTTAATGCTATTGTAAATAGTATTATTTTCATTTTCCAGTTGGTTATTGTCAGTATTTAGACATACAATTAATTTTTAATATATTGACCTTGTAGCCAAGAAACTTGTCAACTTACAAGTTTGGGTAGTTTTTCCAGAACCTTTAGGAGTATTACATACATGAACATATCTACAGATAAATACTGTTATTTCTTCTTTTCCAAACTGTCTTTTTATTTCTTCTTTTTATCTCTTTTTTGAACTGTTCAGGACCCTGTTACAATATTGAATGGAAGTCATGAGAGAGAGGACATACTTGTTTTATCCCCAATTTTAAATAAATGATTTTCATAGATGTGGTTCCCTTAAAAAGTCTCTTTCTATTACTAGTTTGTGGTGTGTCTTTTTGTTTTTTTTAAATCACGAAATGCTTTTGAGTGTTGTAAAATGCTTTAAAAAAAACTATTGAGGTTATATGTTTTTATCCTTTTTTGGTTATATGATGACATATTGATTGATATTCAAATATTAAATCAACCTTGTATTCCATGGATAAACTCTTCATCATGATGTATACTTTATTTTGTGTATAGCTGAATGCTAATGTTTTGTTATGGATTTTGTGTTTATTTATCCAAATTATATCCGTTTCTAGTTTTCTATTCCTGTAATGTAAATTGCATTGTATTCCTTAGCTTCTATCATGTGAAAAGAGTCTAAGGTTTGCATTATTTCTTCCTTAAGTATTTAATATTTTATAATATAACATGTGAAGATACATATTTTTGTTTAAATTTGTCTCATCCAATTGCCACAAATTTTTCTAATTTTCCTTGTGATTTTATCTTTGATCCATAAGTTATTTGGAGTTGAACTGCTTAATTTTCAGTTACCTTAGAACTTTTCAGATATTTTTTTCAGTCTATATATTCTGCTAAAGAATCAAGAGGACCTCTCTTTTTATTTCTAACTTTCTCAATAACTTTCTCTTCTCTAGTAGTTTGTCCTTCAAATTTCTATCTTACCTTCTCAATAGACATCTTTAAATTTGTTTCACATACAAAGGCTATAGGAGAGGTGTATTTCCTAAGTCTTGACAATGTCTCAAGGTTAGATATTTGGGGAATAGCATAAAATCTGAGTGTGTCTGGCATATAGGATTCATAGGCAGACATATTGAAAGATAATATACCACATTGCTGAATTATAGAGGGACACAAGGTCTTCGCTAGTAAAATTTGGTCCTAATTGTTCATTATTTTAGATAATCATGTACTTTTTAAAGTGTAGGGTATATAAATGTATCTGTGCAATGCCAGAATAATTCTTCTTGAAGTAATTCTGGGACTGTTTGTAAGAGGGCAATTATAAGATTATTTCAAGAACTGAATTGTGAACTAATAATGATCTGTTTTAGGGCAGTGGTAAGAGTGATAAGTGGTAAGGGGTAACTGAGTTTTGCTGAAATGGAATGATGAGCTATGAAGAGAATGAAAATTGAGAGGTCACGAACGACAGATGTATAATAGCATTTTTGGGATAAAGATGGTAATTAGTTTTGTGCATTTTGAATTTTAGGTACTTATTGGATAGTTGGAGATTATCCTACAGATAGAAATATGGGCCCAGAGTTCAGGGTAGGAGCTGTGGCAGATATGAAAAATTTGAAAGGTAGATCTAAATTGATAATAAGAGATGATGTGGGAATGAATGATATTGCCAAGGGACATTTGGCAAAGCCTTAAGGAAATGCCAGCATTTCATAATGAGGAATAATAAAGGAAAAAGTCTGACCATCAAGAAGGGAGCAATGACAGGAGGATACTTGAGGAATCTCCTTCATTTGAAGTTCACTCCTCTGAGCTTTCATGCAAAGGACAGATAATAAAGTTAGGTAGAGATACAGCATCTGGAAGGAAAGACCACCAAATATGATACTGTTTTTATGTCTTCATTTACATTTAAAGAGCTGGAATAGTCACTTGAATTATAAATGGCCAGTCTAAATTGTTTCTGTCTTCAGTTATCACTTTATCTGCAAGTAAGTGAATTTCTTTTAAGACGTAGGTTTGTCTTATATTTATTAATCCTATGGTAATAAGTCTTAAATTTCTTTAGCAATAATCAAATGTATTTGAGTTGTTAGTTCCCAAGTTGTCTACTTTTTTTCTGTTCAGATTCAGATATTTTTGTTAAGATTCAAATACTTATGTGGTCATTGTGATGTCACCTAGTTTATAACGTGTTGCTTAAAATAGGAAAACAGAAAAGTTGATGTAAAGTAATGCTGAGTGAAAATAGTAGACCTGGCCCTTGATTTTATTGATAGGTGAGTAGGGTTTCTTGGGGTACCTCCACTCAACCTTCAACCACAAGCACATACACATATTGCAAATATATACTTCACCAACAAGTAACATGCATTTGATCTTGAAGCAACTATTCTTCATCTCTTGTTCACTTTGAATGATATGTCATACATAGAATATATTATTGGTTTTTAATAAGAACGTGTTCAAATTACATTTTAAAGATATTTTAAAAAATGGATACAAGTTTATTATATCTTTACAAAACATTCTTGTTTGGTTTCCTTTTATCATGTTTTAAGGTCAGAATGTGACTCTAATGTTCCACAATGAGACAGAGATTGATAATCGGGAAAGAATAGCCCTTTAATGTGATTTATATCTATAGATTTTATGTCAGATATGAAAAGTTGCTGTTTAAATTGTAAAGGAGGATCCATTAAAGAACACTTTAAGCCATTTTACTATTTAGCTTACTTTGGACTCGTCTGTTTAGAATTATGCCTTTTCAAGCAAAGTTTAATGACTTACCCAATGTTTAAAAAGTAAATTTGATAGTTAAATTTGTGTAATATTAATAAAAGAAAAAATGGACTATTCAGTAATTTTTTTTTGCTATTTTTAATACTGTTTAATATGAATGTATATGGTGTTGGGGCAGTATAGAAGCCAGTAAGTTTCTAATTTTCATCAATAATTTTAATTTCCTCTTATCAGGTGAGGTTAGACAAGGCAGATTATGGATATAGTAGATAATGTTGAAGGTATAAACATTCTTCCTGAGTGCCTTTCCCTGAGCCAGTTTGTCATTGTGGGTATGATTATAATCCTTCTTGGTTTAGGACATTCATACTCTAAGTCACTTTGCCTGGAATGCTTTGTAGTCCCCTTCATGCTACTTGTCATGTGGACCCCTCCATCTTCACATCATTGGCTTCTTCCAGTTATTTAGGTCTGCTTAAAAACTACTTCTGAGTGTGGGTCTTATGAATGAATTCAGAGAAATAAATTCTTGCAGGATTGTTAAACTGAGGTAGTAGATCAGTAGATCACTAAATCTCAGTTCAGTTAATGAGGGATATAAAAATAATTTTAAAGTTTTGGTTAGTTCAATTCCTGTTAGAGATTATTTCATGGTGTGTTGTAGTTTTTTTCTCATATTTTTATAGTATTAATAGATGTTTCTTTTTTCCTATCCAAGTCACTGTGTGCCCAGTATTCAGCAGACAAACGGGAAGATGAGAAGATGTGTGATCATTTGATAAGAGCAGCTAAATATCGAGACCATGTGACAGCAACTCAACTAATCCAGAAAATTATCAACATTCTCACAGACAAGCATGGAGCCTGGGGAAATTCTGCAGTGAGGTAAAGGGAAACCTTTTGGATTTGGCCACTGATTTTCTACAGAAGGCTTAGGTTTAGATAAATAGCTCTGGATATGATCAAGGCCAGATGAAGAATGGAGTAATTTAGTTTTGTATTTTATCATCTACTATGAGTGAGGGGTAGAAGAAAGGGGTAGGAGAAAATCAGTATGGGTACAGTTAAGGATCTTTATAGATATTTTAGTTCCCTCAACTACTTCTAAAGGAATATTCATATACTTATTCTTTTTGAAGTTAACTTTTAAGGGAAATAGTTTATGTAAGCTTTTTATTAGCTCCACTTATATCTAAATTTGCACAAATAGAATATTTTGAGAAACCATTCCCTATTTTACACTTTTGAGTTTTCAGCACATGAATTTGAAAACATTACTATGTGTTCTTTTGAACTTCTTTGCAAATTGTAAGACTATGATAATAAAAGTGGTTAAATGCCTTCTTTAAAATTTTATTTACTATATCTTCCTCCTTTTTAGATTCTGAAAGTGAACATGCTATTTTTTATTTCAATTTCTAGAAAGAAATTACCTTCTAAAGGAACTTAGACAAATTACAAAATTTAGTTTTCTTGGAATATTTTATGCTACAAATCTTCAAAACATGTTTGGGGACACCTGGCTGACTCAGTCGGTTGTGCATCCCACTCTTGATTTCAGCTCAGGTCACAGTCTCAGGGTCATGAGCCTGCTCCCTGCTCAGTGGGGTATCTGCTTGGGATTTTCTCTCTCTGTCTATCTCTCTGCCCCTCTCCACCTGGCTCTCCCTCTGTCTCTCTCAAAAATAAATCTTAAAAAAATGACTCATTTAAGTAATGTTAATGAAGATGTTCTATATTTTCCCGTTAGAAGATATATTTTTAATTCCTCATTTCTACATAACGTTTTCTAGAAGACAAAAAATGAAAATAGTAAATTGTGTATTATGTATGGGTGTAACTGGTTTCCACTTGTGTTTTATGTAGCTTATGTGTCTAATACACATCTAAGTCTAGTTTTAGATATTTTCCAGTACATAGAAAATATTTTTAATTTTTTAAAGTCGAACTTTCAACTGAGTAGAAATCTGCTTGTTAGGGGATATTTTTGTTTGGAGTGCAACTGTTCACTAATATAAAGTAGATATATCTCATGCTTATTATGAAGAATACTTAAAATGAATTACGTTTCTGGATATAGCATTTTTGGTGTTTAGAAGAAGGAATGCAGGTCAGAACTTGAGGGCAAAAGGACTGAATAACGACAGGAATAGCATTTGTTTAATTCTATTCTAGTTGATCTTAGCTGCAAGAGTGTCATGGAAATGACATGAATTACTGGCTCAGAGCTTTGGGTGCCTTATCTTACATGTAAAAGCTTGTGGGTGTGTGTTTGGGGCAGGACGCAGAGGTTGTGGTGGAGGGGGTGCTATTGAGGGTTTTACAGTTTCAAGATACCTTAATGTTACAGATTTGATGTAGTCATTTTATAATCAGGCACTGAATAAATTAAGATATGATTTTGACATACAGTGCTTGTCACATATTGGGAAATCTAATATGTGTTGAGTTTTTTAAACGTATTTTTTCTTCTTAAACGGAGTTTTATGATTTTAAAATTGAAAACCCTGAGATAACTTATGCAAAATGTTGTATTTATGCCAAGTCTGTCATTTTATGGGATCAAAATTTTTTCTAGTGATATCTTTACTCTTGTAGAGCGTAGTATACCTGTGCTATCAACATGAAAGCATTGTTTTTCTGCAGTGATTTTGGTGTAATAAAGTATCTTGGAGAACTAAATGGACTGTGAAATGTATTTATGTAAAAATAATTAGTGTTTCTGTAATAGAGTTGTTCAAAGGCATTAACTCTATTTTATATAGCAAAAACAATTGAAGTAAATTCTGAAATTTTAATATTTCAGAAAACCCACATAAGAAAACATTTTTTAATTTTTACCTCCCAAATGGAAGCAGCTGTCAAACTATTAGCTTTTAAATGTGTATATTTTTAAGAGCAACAACAAAAGATGTCTCATCAAAAGGAAAATTAATATTAGTGTATTAATATTTTTCTCATTGTGAATCTCATAACTTACTTAGATTTTATTCAAAAGAATATTATTGCAAAGCACATTACCTCCATACTGATCTTTCTTTTGTCATTATATTTAGTTCTGTGTCACATTCAACTGTTACTTGTTTAGAACACCTGGCTGTTCCCTAATGCCTTTAATACAGTTATAGTAAAAAAGTTCTTTTTAGTATTAATTCCAGTTAAAGTGAACTTGTAGACCCTGGTGCTCCTTTTTAGGTAACTATGCAAAAAAATGTAGTTGGTAAAATGTATGCTGGCTCACCATTCTTTGACAGTGGTTATTCTCTTGATTTTCCTTGTATGAAGCTTGCATAATCAGCTTGTAAATTATGGACATGGTTGTAATAAATGAGACTAACACAGTGTACTTTGTTCTTCACTTAGCATAATTCTAGAAAACATAAAT